ACATTAAAAATATAAGCCCATCCAACATTTTCTACAATCCTGCTTGCTGAAAGCAAAGAGGACTTCAACTACTTAAGGATGAAGGTTAAACAGCACACCTTTTGGTATGGATTGCATCTCAGTGTAAAGAAAACAAAAATCCTCACAACTGGACCAATAAACAACATTCAGTCTTATCAATGGAGAAAAGATGGACATTGTCAAGGACTTCATTATTCTTGGATCAACCGTCAACACTCATGGAAGGAACAGTCAAGAAATCAAATGACGTATTGCATTAGGCAAATCTGCTGCACTAGACCTTTTTAAAGTGCTGAAGAGCAAAGATGTCAGCTTGAGGACTAAGGTGTGCCTGATCCAAGCCATGGTATTTTCAGTAACTTCATATGGATGTGAAAGCTGGACAGTGAATAAGGAAGACCGCAGAAGAATTGCTGCTTTTGAGTTATGGTGTTGGAGGAGAATATTGAAAGTGCCATGGGCTGCCAAAAGAACCAACAGATTTGTTTTGGAAGAAGTGCAGCCAGAGTGTTCCTTGGAGGCCAGGATGGCTAAACTTTGTCTCTTTGGACATATTGTCAGGAGGGACCAGTCGCTGGAGAAGGATATCATGTTTGGTCAAGTGGAGGGTCAGAGAAAAAGAGGAAGACCTCCCCAGTGAGATGGATTGGCAAAGTGGCAGCATCAATGGGCTCAAGCATGGCAATGATTGTGAGGTTGTTCCAGGACCAGACAGTGATTTACATAGGGTCACTATGGGTCGGTACCAACTTGATGGCACCTGACAACAACAACATTTTCTATGTATGTAATTCCATGATGACTGTGGCATTTTTTGTATTATCACTAGGCTCACTCTCTATCATATTGTGTCACCTTAACATAGGCTTTCTGTCCCCTTCACTTCTCCTCTGTCTTTTAGAGTTACTGTCATCAATTTGATTTCATAAGATAGTTCTTTCAAAGAGTGCACTGTTCAAGGTGAGTGTTCTTTGCTTATTGAGCTAGACTGCTGCTTAGTTTAAAATAACATCATGGGATCGATTGTGCTCAGGGCTTAAAGATTATCTCAGGGTAAGAGATTCAAGATTTCTCACAATCTCTGGGGGCCCATTCAGTCTGGTTTCTAGAAGAATTTGAAATTCTCTTCTAAATTTTTCCTCTTTTTGATCTGGACCCATCTCTTGGGTCCTTGATCAAGATCGTCTGTAATGGTTGCCAAGCAATATCCAATCTTCTGATCTCATGGCAGTGGAAGTAGCAGATTGTGAATATCTCCAAACATTTTACTGGCAGAAATAATCCACTCACATAACTGATAACACTATAGATTACTCAGTGTATTAAGATTATTACTAGAAGTGAAGCACATGGTTGAGACTGGAATAGAAATTTTCTTAAATATGAAACTTTAAAAGCTCTTCAGTTTCATATCTTTCCATGCAAACATTTAATAATTACTGTCAAAGCATAGGTATAAGTAGTAGTTTTGGAAAATTTTCTCTTTAATGCTTCTTTTAAATCATATTTAACTAGCAATCATCTATTCTAATAACACTAATAACAAAATAAGGACCAAGATTGATTTTTTTGCTTATGCTTTAGCTAAGAGTCTGATTGTGGGGCTGTAGGATAAGCACAAGACTGCTAACTGAAAGATCAGCAATTCAAACCCAGCTGCTCTTCACAAACACCATATACGATTGCTATGAGTTAAACTGACTCAAAGACACTTAACAAAACAAAAAACATGCTTTTGCAGTGCTAAGCTAAAGACTACATCTGCTATATCTTATTATATTTATTTCTGACCAAGTCTGTATGGATTGTTGTTGTTAAATTCCATGGAGTTGGTTCTGACTTATAGTGATCCTCATAGTACAGAGTTCCTGAGAAGGTGGGTTTGAACTTCTGACCTTGAGGTTAGCAGTTCAGTGCCTATCCTACAATGACACAGAGGATTGGGTACTAATATTACCTTCATTTAATACATAAGAAACCTGAGACTCAGAAACAATGAATCCCTTGCCCAGGTTTGTGTAGCTAAGTCAGTGACAAAACGTTTGCTTCTCTAACCACAACAGGAGACAATTTCAAAGCACTCACGTAGTCTTCAAACACAGTTTCTTCGATGCCAGTGTGCTTGGTTCCCTCCTGCTCTCACTTTGATGGGCTTCTGTGCTATCATTTCATCAAATGAAATCATGTACAATTTCTCCTGAAAAATTCCTCTGGTGCCACTCAGATGGATGGTATTAGAAGTGAGGGTGGAAATCTAGAGTAGGTAATCTCTGTGAGCAAGTGGGTTTGAGAAATGTCAAGTGCAATGCTGTAAAGAGAAAATGTTACAAGAGTCCCGAGATCCTTGTAGATCTGTGATAGCCCAGCTGTTCATGGTGTGCTTGCTATCTCTTGAACAGCAGTGCACCAAATAGAAAGGTCCAGAGACCTTAGCCTTGGGTATGAAAGGATAATCCTATCACAACACTTAATTTTTTCCATTATGCCACAGGCTGTTTCCAAAGAACTGAGTGGCTCTTCCAGTTCTTGCAGGCTGTCAAGGATTTAAATCAGGGTTCTCACAACCTTGAATGAGCTTGAGATGTTTAACTGCTACAGCTGCTGTGACCTGCAGTTGAGTTGTTGGCCCCTGACTAAGACCCTATGCATGATGGGATTGGACCTTTTACCAGGTTCTCATTGACTTATTTTCTGAAATAGATCACCAGTCTTTTTTTTTTTTCATGGTTAGCCTTAATCTAGAAACTTCCTTAGAACTTGTTAGTATCATTGTTGTTAATTGCCATCAAGTTGATTCCAACTCAAAGTGACCCTATGTAGCCACACACAAACCTCCGCTTACAAAGGTTATTTGAAGTGAGTTGACTTAGAATTGAACCTAGGTCTCCTGCCTGAAAGGCAAGAATTCTACCACGGAATTACCACTGTACCATTCAGCTGTCACAGGATGCTCGCGCCAATGAGTGTTGTTGTTGTTAAGTGCTGTAGAGTTGATTACAACCCATAGTGACCCTGTACAGGGTTTCCAAGACTATAAATCTTTACAGGAGCAGAAATCCTCATTTTTCTCCTGCAGAACCGCTGGTAGTTTCAAACTGCTGACCTTGAGATTAGCAGCCCAGTTCGTAATCATTACGCTACCAGAGCTCTGATGAGTATAGGGCTGATAAATTGAGCTTCGACAGGAAGCATTGAATAAAAGCTGCAGGAAAGAGCAAACCTGAGGGCCAGAGGGAAGGGTTGGCTGGTGTCAAACAGGTTTTGGAAACACTTTGGAAAAGTTATATCAACCAGGATATCTGAGAGTTGGGAGAGCAGAAAAACACTTGCATTGAGCTGATGGGCAGTAAGAAACAACCCTGCCTACGTGAGAAAGCAAGTCCCACCAATGTAGAAGAAGTGGATACTGTGTAAGAAGTGGCAGGAAAAGAGCCAGGGGAATGAATGGGCTGTGAAGAAACCATCTCATGGAAGAGTCTCCCAATAACATGACCATTGTTTAGGATGAGTTCATGTCAAATTCTCCATCAGTGCAGTAATGAGCTGGTAATGATCTCCTGCAGAGCTCAAAACCCACGTGTTAACTTTACCTGTTGTAGGTGCTCCGTGCTGCGCTCATCCTTGTTCACATCCAAATTCACAAAGCAGACCTGGCAAAGATAACAAAAATAGGCGATGTATTACTGGATAATACTTTGTGAAGAACAGAGGAATCAGTTAGTACAAATGACCTGAGAGTCCTGTGTAGTTTATATGGCACAGACACTGTTGTTTTATTCTTGGGTTTCTAAGTCGATCTCCAATATGCCCCTACTCCTGTTGCCATTCCATTAATTCCATGAATGCCTTTTCCTTTTAGTTCTAGCAAACTGAAAGCAAATGTGCTTGTATAAGAGCTGATGTTAAAGTCCGGTATATAGTATCCTGGTGTGGCACTATAGGATAAGCACTGGACTGCTAACCACAAGGTCGATGGTTCAAATCCACCAGCTGATCCTAGGAAACAGGGATTCTATGAGCCAGAACTGACTCGATGACAGTTAAGTCATTCAATGACTTAACAACAACATAGGAGTTGTCAACTATATAGCACAATTGTCACCTGCTTATTAAGAACAGGCATTTCGGCGAAGAATATGGAATATCACCACACTCCCATTCAGAGACTCTCTCCCTCTGGGTTCCTTGTACACAGGAAGGAACTGGGCATTAGTGCATTTGTGGACATTGGGCACAGAGGCATACACCTCTGATCTTGAGCACTTTGACAATATTCAGACATAATTGAAACTTTGTCCTTGAAAGCTTGGATCAATATCAATTAGAACACAGGGACTTTTAATAACATGGAGCTGCAACGGCCGTTAGGGAATTGATTAAATGACTTTTTTATTCACCTTCAAGAAAGGTGCATTACTTTGCCTCCAGGAATCACAAACTTCTTATTGCTCTTTCACAGTGGGAGTGGGCAAAGCAGAGAGACCAGAGGGTAAAAAGACATCTATGATAGTGATTTATCTCCCCTCAGATACTACTACCCTTACTTCTCTGAGGATGAAATCACATTTCCTTCACTTTGAGCTGCAATGTGACAAGATGACTATGTGCTTACACCTGGCATGTGCATCTTTCTTTATCTTGGGGGTAGGGGAGGATCCAAGTATTAGAGGACCAGATGTATATACAATTTTGGGAGACCCTCTTTAAGAAAATGAATAACATGCAATCAAGATGCATTGAAAATTACTGGTGATTGGAATATGAAAGGTGGCAAAAAAGGAAGGATTAGTAGTTGGAAAATATGGGCTTGGTAATAGAAATGATGCTGGAGATTTTATGACAGAATTTTGCAAGACCAACCAATAACGTTATTAATTGCAAATACGTTTCATAAACAACATAAAGGCAACTATGCACATGAACCTCACCAGATGGAATACATAGGAATCAGACTGACTACATCTGTGGGAAGAGACAATAAAGAAAACTCAGTATCATTAGCCAAAACAAGGCCAAGAGCTGATTGTGGAACAGACCATCAATTGCTCATGTACAATGCATCTTGGTTGCATGTTTGATGAATTTCAGAGTGAAGAAGTTGGTTGTTGTTGTTGTTAAGTACCGTGGAGTTGGTTCCTACTCATAGCAACCCTGCACAGAGTTTCTGGGGCTGTAAATCTTTACAGGAGCAGAACACCTCATCTTTCTCCTGTGGAACTGCTGATAGTTTTGAACTGCTGACCTTAGGTTGGCACCCCGACTCATAACCACTATGCTACCAGAGCTCCTTGAAGAAGTCGGTAGAATCCTACAATTTCATAATCACTGGCTAAAGAAAATTAAAGGAACTTCACAAGAGTCAAAGTATGACCTTGAGTACATCCCACCTAAATTTAGAGACTAGTTCAAGAACAGATTTGATGCATTAGATTAAATACCAGAGAGTTAGAGGATGGCATCAAGAACATCATACATGAAGAAAGCAAAAGGTCATTAAAAAGACTGGAAAAAAGAAAAGACCAAAGTAGATGAAATAAGAGACTCTGAAATTTGCTCTTGAATGTTGAAGAGCTAAAACAACAGGAAGAGCTACACAGAAAGTTTCAAAGGACATCTCAAGAAGACTACATCAAATTATTAGAATAAAATGTATGAAGACCTGGTCTTAAAAAAACAAAAGGGTAGAATACACTCAGCATTTCTCAAGCTGAAAAAAACTGAATTAAAAATTGAAACTTCAGGTTGCAATATTGAAGGATTCTATGGCAAGAAATGAAAACAAGTCCCCAAGAGCCAAAATATGATCTTGGACATATCCCACCTGAATTTGTTGTTGTTAAGTGTAGTCCAGTCAATTCTTACTCATAGCAACCCTGAATAGAGTTGATGATTTAGAGCAAATGCCTAAAGACCAGAAGAGCTGTCTGAACAACAAGAAAATCATATAGAAAGGAAGCAAAAAGTCATTAAAAAGACAAGGAAGAAAGGAAAGACTAAAATGGATGTCAGAATAGACACTGAAACTTACTCTCTAGCATAGAGATTTTAAAAGGATTGGAAGAAATGAAGAAGTAAAAGAGCTGAATAGAAAATTCAAAGAAAACAAAATATTATAATGAAATGTACTAACACCTAGAGTTAGACAACCAGTCCTGCCCCATTTTTTTAAGGGATATGAAAATAATTGGGAATGATACTGGTGATGGTCTACGCACAACATTGTGAATGTAATGAATGCCACTGAAATGTACATGTAAAAATTGGCTGAAATCGAAAATGTTTGGTTTTATATATTTTAACATAATAAAACTTAAAAAAGAAGAGAAGATGAAATATAGAGAACCAGAATTTTACATGTCACAATGACATGTAAAAAATTGTTAGCATTGTTCTTGAAATGAAAACTCTTTTCTCTTCAGATAAAGCACATTCTGTTTTGTGTCTGCAGATACCCTTGTGTAGACTATCTGCAGACATGATTCGGTCTAAGCAGATGAAAACACATCATCACAGGTAGTACCCTATCACTTCTTCTCTTGCTTGCTTAAAAAAGCTAATTTTGTGGTACTCTATTTTATAACTCTAAAATTGGCTCAGGATTGGGGAATGTTTCGTCCTGTGGTGCATAGGGTTGCTATGAGTCAGTATCAACTCGAGGGCACCTAACAACAACTCTAACTTCTATGCTCCCAAGCTGACCTTCTGCCATTACTAAGGTTTTAAAATGAAACATCGTAGGAATAAGTATCATTTTATGATTTCAACTTTTTCAGAATCTGATAAACTATTCTTCAAAGTCATTCACACACCAAAATTGGAATGTCCATAGGCAATATAGGTAGAATTATGGATTACTTAGTCAAGTAATCTCAATGATTCCCTTTGTTTTTAACCCTTTTCATAAATAAATGGCATCTTTTTTTTAATGTTTTATTGTGAATTATGTGGTAGTTTACATGAGGGAACTTTAGTTTTACATTCATTCCATCATATATCATCTCATTGTCATGGTTCCAATCCCCTCCATGCATCATCAACCAACCAAAGGGTATATCCTAGAAACCTGCCCCCTACACGTCCCCTTAAGCCTCCCCCCTCCCCCCCACAGTTTTCTGCCCACAGTCCCTTTCCTTCTCTGGATCCAAAGTTCCCAGCCGCTTCATTACTCCACATCATCGTCTCTGTCTCCATCTCAGGCATCTGTTTCTCTGGGTAGGGTCCTGCTCTAGGCTCTTCTCTGTTGATGGTCCCAGATAGCTCCGCTCCTAGCTTGTAGAATTAATCACCCCCTTCCTTGTTCCAAAACGTCTACCTTTGCATTTCCAAACCTCATAATCCATCCTGATAAGCATTATTCACTACAGTATCGCGAGTTACCCATCTGTATTTCCTTTTATCCGCTCCACCCAGACAGATTGAATAGTACCTACTAGAGATTCTGCCTTCCTTCGTGCTCCCTAGCACTAGGTTCCCCCTTGAAAGCTTGTAAGCCAGTCACTTCTTACCTTTGTAGTCCCCCCCCTCTCCATTTGAGTATCCAATGTTCAAGTTGCCCATCTCTGTCCACTCTGTGTGTGGAGGGGGTGGGAATGATTCTTGCTGTAAGGATTTGTTCCTTCTTTTGAGTTGTTGCTCCATAGGTATAGGTCAAGTTCATCAGATTGTATCAGCTCTCTCGCTCTCTTTTTTTTTTTTTTTTTTTTTTCTCCCCTCTTCTTTCTTCTCCTGGCTGAGCTCCGATCCTCCAGTCCAATTTGTTTGTTCTTATAGTAACAGTCCGTCTGCCTCCATTTTTCTTGCAGGTCTTTCTTTCAAGAGGTATCTTTTATTCTTCTAGCCACTCCAGGCTGGTCTGCTCATCCTTTCAAGTGGAGATTTCTCATCTCTGGAGATCTGGATGTGGTTCCGGTTTCTACCTATAGTTTTATGTATTGCAGAGGCTCTGCAGGAAGCTTCTTTCACTGGGTACACTGTAGCCCCATTTTAGGTATTCCAATCAGTCATAGGCAAAAGATAGACTTACAAGCCTTCTAGTGTGATGTTTCTGACTATTCCTTTCTGTCCCTCTCCAGTGTCTACTCTGTATTATAATGCAAGGGAAACCAAGATTTTTAAAAAGCCCAACAATAAGCAAATAAAAAACAGTCATGCATCTTAACATGATCCCTCCCACTCCCCCACCCCCTCCGCCATTCCAGCCATGACTCAATCCCTGTATCTCAGAGCCCTGCAGTTCCAAGGCTGTGCATATATCGTCCTTTATCCCTGTCCCATTTGGCCCTTTCAAACATGTCCAATTGTTCTCCCATCTGCCCCGTTTCTCCACTTCCCTCTCCCTCCCTGTATATTGCCCCCCTCCTCAGCACCCAAGCTCTCCAGTGTCCAATTCCCCCCTGTGCTTCACCCTCCTCCCTTCCCCCCACCCATCACCAACTTCCCAACAACCAACAAAGACTTTCCCCTACCCCCCTTTAGTATAATTTCTTTTTCTGAGTCTTTTACAGTAGTGGTCCTATGCAGTATTTCTCTTTTTGTGACTGACTAATTTCACTCAGCATAATGTCCTCCAGGTTCATCCATGTTATGCGGTGGCTTGCCACTTCCTTGTTATTCTTCAGTGTAGCATAATATTCCATTGTGTGTATGTACC